CATACATACATACATACATACATACATACATCCATCCATCCATCCATCCATCCATCCATCCATCCATCCATCCATCCATCCATCCATCCATCCATCCATCCATCCATCCATCCATCCATCCATCCATCCATTCATCATCTTCTGCTCATTCTGAAGTCAGGTCTCGGGGGCAGCATCTTGAACAGGGAGGTCCAGACACCTCTTTCCACAGCCACCTCTTCCAGCTCTTCTGGGAGGACTCCAATGTATTCCCAGTTCAGCTGAAAGACGTAGTCTCTCCAGCGTGTCCTGAGTCTTCTCCGGGGTCTCCTCCCAGTCGGACATGTCCGAAGCACCTCCCTTTGTCCACCCATAACTGAACTTCTCACCCTGTCTCTAAGGGAGAGTCCAGCTACCCTGCAGCGGAAACTCATTTCAACCTCCCTGACTCCCAGCAACCAGCAGCCAAATGAATAAAAACTGTTCTTTATTGTACTCCTGTGTCTGGCTTATTCTGAATCCAAACCTAAACATGACAATGACAATATCATTAAAAAATCTGCACAATGGTTCATGAGATATTTTGCTAACATCTACAACCTAGGGCGTCCTGGTGCCAAGTGCACTCATGGACACCCTTATGTTGGAACATGGTGTTCATGATGGACAAACTATGACTAGCACAGAAGTCCAACAACAGAACAACGCTCGGGTTCAGATCAGAGAGGCTGTCCCTCCCAGTCACGCCCCTCCAGGTCACACTGTCATTACCCAGGTGGGCACTGAAGTCCCCCAGCAGAATAAAGGAGTCCACAGCTGGAACACCTTCCAGAACCTCTGTCAAGGACTCCAAGAAGGTCGGATACTCTGAACTGCCATTTGGTGCATGGGCACAAACAACAGTCAGAGCCAGCCCCCACCCAAAGGCACAGGAAAGCCACCCTCTCATCCACCGGGAAAACTCCAACACACAGGCCCCATGTCAGGGGGCTAAAAGTAGACCAACATCAGCTCGGCGCCTCTCACCATGGGCAACTCCAGAGTGGAATAAAGTCCAGCCCTCCCAAGGAGATTGGTTCCGGAGCCCATGCGGTGTGTCGAGGTGAGCCCAACTATATCTAGTCAGTACCTCTCAACCTTGCACACAAGCTCAGACTCCTTCCCCGCCAGAGAGGTTACGCTCCATCTCCCAAGAGCTTTGGTAAGTTAGGGTCAGAGCGCCAAGGATCTCACCTTCAACCACTGCCCATGGCATCATGCACCCAACCTTTATGGCCTCTCCTGCAGGTGGTGAGTCCACAGGAAGGCAAACCCATGTTGTTCCTTTGGGTTGAGCCCGACCAGACCTCATGGGTAGAGACCTGGTCATCAGGTGCTCACCGACGAGTCCCTACCCCAGGCCCGGCTCCAGGGTGGGGCCCCGGTAACCCACGTCTGGGCAAAGGGACACTGAGTTCCTTGTTCCTTTATGTCCGTAAAAGTCTTCTGAATCACTCTTTGTCTGGCATGTCACCTAGAACCAATCTGCCTTGGGAGACTCTATCAGGGGCAGTTACAATAGCCCCCGACAGCATGGCTCCTAGGATCATTCAGGCACACAAACTCCTCCACCACGACAAGTTGGTTCAGTATCCTGATGCATGCTCAAGGTGGTTCAGCCTTATTCAATCTTGTAAACAGATTATTAAAAAAGAAGAATGGTCACACAGCCGGCCGGTCATTCTTGAGAGTCTGCTATTAAAACTAATCAACATTGAATTGATAATAATTAAACACATGGGGGTTTAAAAAAAATGTTGACAAATATACAGCTGTATGAAGAGAATGGGGCCATGTCGATAGGACTTTAAAATAAGCTCAAAAAGCCAAACATTTTACTTTAGTTGACTTTTTGTCATTATTCAGGTGATTCAAGTCATAAGGTCAAACAAGACTTTAACAATACATTTAAATAAAAAAGGTTTTATCACAACTCAACTGACTGGCATCTTTTGTCTGATTTTTCAGTCTTTTCTCATGAAAAACCTCATTTACACAAGGGACCAAAGTAAAAACCTGATAGAGAGTCAGTCTTATTTTCAACATTTTGTTAAAATAAAAATAAAAAAGCCATGTTTTTGACAAGTCTTGTGCAAAAATATTCCTATATACATATAAAAATGGAGTATATAGTTTTATAGTGTAGCTGTGATGTTCTTGGACAGAAGTTTATCTAAGAGTCTGCATTGAAGACACAGAACAGACTGAAGAGGACATTAGAGTGAAACTCCATAGTGGTTTTTTTTTTATAATTATACTTTTCAAAGAAAAACATTGCTCACTCTAATGAACACAGATGATTAAATACTGTAGGTTAGGGACTTTCAGTAAAAAAAACTCATTCACCTCCATTATAAAGTTCGATCAAATTTTTTCCTCTCTACTCAAATAAAAATTGAGAGGTAAAATTTTTATTTTCTCCGCTTCAAAGTTGACAAATTATAATATGAACTCAGAATTATGCTGCTCAAGGTGGCTGCATGTTGGAGCAGCTGTTAATTTCATTCTGTGATTTTGCTTTTTGGAAACTTTAATTAATCTTTTTCTGGATGTAAATCACATTTTTTGGATGATTGTTTCCTCTGGTATCAGATGCTGAGCAGCTGGAAGGATATTTACTGAAACTTTTTTAGTGTAAGACATTTGTTATGATGCGTAACCATGGCAACAAAGCAGTTTTCTACAACCAACAGCTGATTAACATCTCAAAAGCTCAAATAATATCTCAGCTACAGCCCCAAATCTCAAACGAGTTGAAAAGGATGTTCTGTGGATGCATTCTCATCTACCTGCCAGCTGTGCTCGAGTGCCTGACCACTAAGATCCTGGAACTAGCAGGAAACACGGCTCATGACAGCAGAAGGTCAGGATCGTCCCTCGGCACCTACAGTTGGCTGTACGCAATGACGAGGAGCTCGGCAGACTGCTGGGAGGAGTGGCCATCGCTCTGGGAGGAGTTCTGCCCGGCATTCGGGCGGTCCTACAGCCCGGGGGAACTGAGAGGTCAGCTGAGTCTGGGTGGACAGATCGGACGGCATCTGCAGCCAGTTTCTTAGGATCCACTGTGGGATGGACCTTTACAAGAGATCCTTCCTGTCTACAACCATCAGCATCTCCAACATCTCTTTGCTCATCTCAAATGAGGATAACGAGTTACAGCAACAAATAATTTCCCTTTGGGATTAATAAAGTATTTTTGAATTGGAATTAAGTCTGTTCTGTTTTAAATAAATGTACAACAGAGACTCTTCCTCTCAGCACGTAGCTGCAGGGGAGTACCTCCTCCACGGCATGGACTGAGGGATGTGCCACGTGGTCCTAGTGCCTGACCTGTTTGCTTAAACTGCTGCCACA